AGTGGGCACTCGAGTGAACTGTTGCCCCTGCAAGCAAATGTCAGCTCCGTACTCCCCCACCGAGCAGCGTCCTGCCTTAGCCACCGTACGGCCGTGTCCGTGTGTTTGCACAAATCACACATTTTGGCTGGACAGGCGGTTACGTTTGGTCCCTATGGCAGTCATGTAGTCGCTGGTGATACCGTGCCTCTCCCTGGCACCCGTTATGCTTCCTTGTAAGAGCTACGCTTAACGAGAGCTATCTCGCTCGGGGCAGATGTAGTTTATACACGCTTCCCACCGTTGGGATTTTCATTATATCTTCTGGAGCCCCGAAGAACTGAGCGAGGTTTTTATATCTTTTTAAACCCCTCCCTATTCCTGCGTTTCCACACTGTTTGTAATGTTCTTTAGACAAAAAGGGACAGACTGTGACCTCGGCTAATGAATAAATCAGCTCCATCTGTCCACCCAGAGATAGCCTTGTAGCACAGTAGGACTTAAGGGCATATTTGTACCGCGCAGCGTGGTTAAAAATATCTTAAGCTGATTCCAAGTAATCTGCTGTGTTCACGCAGCGCAACGCAGTGTTGCTGGCCTGTGCTGGGCTGGGGTGTGGGTAACGGTGGCTTTGAGGAGGTCTGGTTTGCTCTGAGAGGGCATTGCTGGTGGTGTAGCTACGTGTGCTCGCTGCCTGAGGTAGCCTGCGTGTCCCTGCGTCTCTCGGTATGCTGTGTCTGCTCACGCATTACGTGGGCACAAAGCTGAGTACTGAGTACTCAAGGCACGGTGTCCTACCCCAGATCTTACTAAGTGTATGCTTCTACTACGTGTGGTCTTTTTTTGAAGGGTTAAGGGGTGCAGACGAGCATAATCTTCCAAAATTTTGTAACAGCTCTGAAAGTGCGTCTCGGTAACCTTTGGCAAATGTCTTTGCCCTCACCCAGATGACCGGAGAGTTAGGCTACCTGGGTAGGTTTCCTTAAAGTGTTTTGAAGAGGGGACACGCCATCTGAGTTCTCGGTGAAGCCTTTAAGTTTGTATCGGCTAGTGGTTTGTCTGTGTTAGAAAAACTTTGATTGGTGTCTTCGTAATGGGGCTCTGATTCTCAGCATAAGCAAAGATTTCGCATCTGATAGTTTGTTGCCGCTAAAAGGGAGCGCGCTCTCCCATCGCCACACGTGCATCGCTCGGCCTGCGCTAGAAGCCGTACTTGCTGGACTCCTGGTACCACTGCTTAACCCAACAGAAAAAGCCCACGCTCCCTCCCCAAACCTTCCGCTCCAAACCGGGGTATTTTCTTACTGTTAATTGCTTGAACTCTCTCACAGGAGCTCTTTAGCATCGCAGCTGGTTTAAAGAAGGGTGCAGGACTGCACAGCAAGGAAAGAAAGAAGTGGATAAAGACAGGTGGAAGGGCCTGAGATCTCCCCCTTCCAGGAGCAGTGAGGCCTGAGCTTGGAGAACAGAGCTGAGGTGCTTTCCCCTAGGACCAAAGTCATCCACGTTTCTTGTGTTGTGCCTTGTTGAAATAGTTCACATTGAGACGCTTTGTTTCCGTATAATATTTTTAATGTCATTTACTCCTGTCCTTAGATTTCTTTTTTCCCCCCCTATTTCTGATCTTTTTTTCTCATGATGTCTCTTTGCTGCAGCATCTGTAATCTCCCCTTGTCTTTTATGTTACTTGGTATTTGTACCAGCAGTCCTTTACTGACACTTTAATATCCTTGATGCAGCGTTTACATCATAGGATTTGAATGCAAAACACCTCAGGTTTTCTCTTGCTCCAGTGGTTTGTGTTATGGTGAAATAACTCACACAGATGTCCTGGTAGTGGGGAATTGGATCAGAGAGGTATTTGGTATGGAATTTGATTGTGCGTTTCCAGAGAGCCTTTTGGCAGACATGCTCCATCACGTTGACTTTTTCTGTTCATTACCTGCTTGATCTTTTGACAGATCATTTACTATGACTTTTACCCCAAATATGCAAAACTTCAGTTACTATTTGTTTCAATTTGCTGTAGTTTATTTTTAGTTTAAGCACATGCAAGTCCTGACGCAATGAGCTACTTCCATAATTTTTCTTGCTTTTTTTTGCTTGAGCTGTGTACATGATGAGGGGGAAAAAAAAACCAACCCCAGCTTTATTGTGTCTCCTGAAAAGGAGCTTTGCCAATGATTTCAATGGGAGAAAGAGCAGGCAGTGAAAGTCAGTGAAAAATAGGTTTTAAGAATGTGCTTCCCTCTGCCAGCGAGTGAGGCACCTTAGAGTAGTGCATTTAGTTGGCTGGTACTTACATACTGCTGGTGCAGAGGCCATCAGTATATGGAAAAGCAAATTCTCAAAGGTCTCAGTTTTTCTGTTGAACTGTGAGATAAATAACTCGCCCCCCAAATATGTATGCGTGTATATATAAATTACTTTTTTTTATATGAGCGAGATTGTGGCCTTTTTTGCATTGCTATTGGAAGAACATATTTTCTATTTATTGTTCTACAAACGGCATCCAAAATACTACATGTTAATTCTTATCATTGAGGAAGGAATTTCTTTGTTCAGAAAGTTATTTTATGTACATACACACACATACATGTTTGTGATTTGTCTACAACTGACAGATGAGGGTTGCCACATATATTACTAAAATAATGTGTGATTTCTTATTAGAGAAATTCTTTAAAATGACAAAAGCATGGGTGCAGAATCAGGCTCATATTGACTATGTGTACAATCCATGGAAACACATTTGTCTTAAAAATACGTGCAACAGATTTGTTTCCTCCGTAGTTTGTCATGGCACAGCTGCAGAGCTGAGATTTTCTTTTAAGTGCTTTATAAAGATTGAGAATTGGCCTTTTGCTTACTATTTGCTTCCAGGTTAAATAGTGAATGGATGCTTTATTCCTATACAAATTGAGTCGTTGGGCTTCAAAGTCCTCCTTTAAATTAGAATTTTTAAGAGTGTTAGAGAATTCTTCTGAGGACTTGATCGTGCTATAATTATTACTTTGGAATTTTAAAATTTTCTATCACGTTTTGCTTCTATTTGATGTAAGAAACGGTCGCCCATACAATTCTGCTATGAAACTGATGCATCTGTGCCCATCCTTATAGCACCACCCATCTTCTGACCTGTGCACAGCAAGAAATACAAGTTTGTGTGTTTAAAATGCTGCAAGAGCCAAATTCAATGTGCAGGAGCTCATTCTAGCTCTGGAATATAGAACATGTACTTCTAACATTCATGAATGGTATGCGTGGTTTTAAAGTTAGAACATGGCTTATAAATATTAATTGGGGCAGTGCTCCCAGTGATGAAGCTGCAGATACGCACCAAGGGACTTTTTCAGCTGTCTAATCCTTTTTACAATTATTTGTCATTACAAAAGTTTTCAGTTAAAAAAGAATTGAAAGTTAAGTTTAGGGCTTTGTAACACTTCAGAAGTTTTATGTTTGTGATTTATGCAGGTTTAATATTAGCAAATATGCAAACAATGTTACTGCACAATTTTGTTGGAAAACATGATATGGAATGGGTCCACATTAAAGCATTTTTTTTAAAGAAATTCCTCTCATATTTCTTTGGTTTTGTCTCCAGAGGGATATAAGAGACTTGGAGGAGGAGCAGAGCTTTTTGCTCTTTCTTCACATTTCAAACCATGAAAAAAAGTCTGTCTGAAATCACTCACGTTACTTATGCTGCTGTCCTTCAGAGGCACCAGAGCTGTTTATGAGCAGTGGAATCTCTGGAAAACCCTAGTGCCTGTCAAAGCATGAACTTTATAGACATCTGTTCTGTTAAAATCAGTTCCTTGAAGGATGCAGTTAAAGCACTGATGTGGCTGGCCGCACGGCCCCCGCAGCACTGTGGCTCGCAGCCCCCGCCCCTTCCAGCTTGGCCTGAC